CCTGCCATGACTGCCCTTCATCGTCAGGCCCATATTTGAGCGATGAGTCCAGATTCTGCCCATGGCAGGTTGAATGCAATACTGAGGGCAACATGCTTTGGTGGAAAAGGTGTGATGATGTGGGGTGCTGTCTCCCACAAAGAGACAAGGCTTGTCATCATCTGAGGTGTTAGAGAGCGCAGCGTTTACATGTTGGTTATTTCTCTATAGTATTATGTTTCATCCACTGAGAGTCTGTGAAAGCCATCTCTGTACTGGAGCTCCTTCAATGCACCACCTGTGTTTTTTTTACTGGATAGCTGTATTTCCTTGGTTAACTGCTCTGTGTGAAGCTAATTTATGCTTGTTGTAACCCTCCTGTGAGGTGATTGTTTACGTTACTGATACATTTGATTGATGAATACAGTCCTGTTCTGTGATCTTAGTTCTAGGATTATGTTTGTGTATAGAATATGTCGCTTGCTTGCTGTACTGATTGTTTAGTTGTTTGCATTCAAATGCACGCACACACACACAGACACAGACACACACACACACACAGACCGTGGCAGAAACCCCGTCCAGTTGCCGAGCTCCGTGATTGGACACCAGGATGCCACTGACCCCACAGTTCACAGCCTTGGCAGCATCCTCACCTGACACACACAATCAGAGAAATAAGCTCAGGGTTTCTGTGTGATGAGCATATTCTGTATTTGAATACAGTTAGTACACCTGTGAGGAACCAGTGTGTACCTCACCAAATGTCTGCGACTTTCTTTCATTTTCCTAATACTGATGTGTGCAGCACGGGATGCTTTCAAGTCTACTTGAAAAGCATCTTAAGTCACATTTATTTGTATACAACTATCCAGACAAGCCAACTCAGAGGGATAGAAAGGAGTATAAAGATACATGTATACAGGTCATGATATAAACCGTACAAAACTAATCAGAGAAATAGAAAAGTCTTCTTTCTTTTTTGCTTCTAATCGGAAGAGTTGTTTTCTAATATACATTTATTAGAGATTAGAGGTTATTTCTGCAACAACTTTGGTAAAAGTAATGTCAAAACAGTTTATTAAGAGAAGATCCAGTCCTCTGTAGACAACTCTTAGTCTGCTCTCTGACATCTAACCTTTAGAGCACAAAAAGGTGAACATGAGGGACCACCCACTAGAAATGAAATGGAATCAAATCAGTTTGCAGATGTGGTTCATTAATAAGCTACTTCCAATTATAAAACGTTTTGAGGCCTGATTTAAATGAAATAAAACTCGATGATTTCAGGTTTTCAGAAAGTTTGTTCCACAGTTGAGGTCAAAAAAAGACTAAATGATTTTTCTTTGTTTTTTTCTCGATTGGGGATATTTTGAGGGTCTGTTACTGCGAGCTCAGTACATAGCGTAAGTTACAATGGATGCCTTAGTATTAAGCTGATTCAGCCCAAGTCCATTGAGTTCTTTTTAAACTAGTAGAAGAGTTTTAAAATACATCCATTGTGACATCAGATGCTAATGTATAGATTTGAAAACAGGACCAATGTTCTCAACATTGTTGAACCTGGTTGATTCAGCTCCAGCATCTGAATAAGCTGTAGGAGTCAGATCCTTTGCTAAGACCCGTAAGACCTGAAAACCGTTTTATTTTCTAAAAATAAACGAGGGTAGGAGCTATGGTCCTGAGTTGATGATAAAATATAGAGTGGTGTGTCATGAGGACTCTGTGCCTGCCAGCCAAGTTCTTCCACACCACCAGTGTTGGTCAAGTTACTTGAAAAAAGTAATCAGTAACTAATTACTGATTACTTCCCCAAAAAGTAATCCCGTTACTTTACTGATTACTTATTTTCAAAAGTAATTAATTACTTAGTTACTTAGTTACTTTTTAAAAACACGATTTACAACC